CATTTTTTAAATATATATGCACGTATATATTACAAAATTATTAGTTAAATCAATTAAAAATGATTGAATTTGATTCAGCAGTCCATGCCGGGGAGACAGAATTTCACCTTCTCACTGACAAGGAGGGGCTGTCAAACTCAAAAATTCATTTAAATTGACTTTATTTCATGCATATTAGTCATCGGATCAATACATTATACGCGATGACTCATCCACCAATCACAATGCATTATAATTGAAGCACTTTTATAGTACTGGCCATACTGTACAGTGCGAACAATAATGCACGTGTTCCAGTTGGACGACTTTACTATTATCTGAACACTACCATGATATATACATATATTCCACATCAAAAGGAAAGAAAAAATTTTTATATATGGATAACAATAGCACCGTCTGTTATACACAAAGGAAAGGAAAATTTTATATGGATAAAAAATCGAATATCTATATATGTAAAGGAAAGAAAAATTGACCTTACAGACAATGACCTTAATGAACAAATATTTTATTACGACATTAAATTATAAATTACGCATTTTCATTTTAGTTATACATCATTTGATCTTTTCAATACACAAAGTAAACATACATTTATTTCAGTGATTTACTATGTCTACCTTAACAAGAAATTCGTCTAATCCACCACCATACTTCTACAACTTAAGTCCACAACAACAAAAGAATTGGATGAAAACTACTCGTCGAATGGAAAAAAACGAACAACTACGAGCCGAATATCCACCTTTTCAATCACCATCAAATTTTACAATTCTTCATCTTCATCAATATTCATCAATCGAAACAGTAGAAGAATTAATAATGAAGGCAAGAACAACACATAAATATACGATCGACACAGAATCACAAGTGATAAACAAGGTAGCAAAATGTGCTCTCGTGCAAATTCAACTTATTCATTCAATTCACAAGTCAACATTAATATTAATTGAAATGTTTTATTTACCAAATCAAAATTCATTGTTATTCAAGAAAATCAAGGAACTATGTTCAATTATATTTCGTGATGAAAATACAAAAATTACCTGGGGACCATTCGACAATGAATTTAAAAATTTTCATTCATATGGATTATTTGAAAAAGGTAAGGTTAAAAATGCAATAAATTTACAGGATCATTTTAGTGACTGGTACAACGAATCTCCAAGTATCACGCATCCCGAAAGGGAAAGTCGTGAAACGCAAACCAGCTGGTCCTTACAAGATGCAGTTAGTATAGCTTTTCAACAATTTCTGGACAAGAACGAAACAGTTAACAAGTGGAGCTGTGGACTGGACTTCAAACTCAATACATGGAAGACAAAATTATTTAGTAAAAATCATTACAATGCAAATGAAGAAAAAGAAAAAGCATAACAATTTCAAAGAGAAAGAGAGAGATATAGAGGAGGTGGATCGAGGCCTGTAACAATCCTCCCCTCTTATGAGATGTGTGTCCTCACACATTGATATATTGTACATAATATGAATACATCCAATTAATGATGATGAAAATTTCATTTGATCAACAACATATTACGAACAATTAATTAATATGAATGATTATGAACAAGAATCTATCGAATTTATCTCAAATGATACTAAATAATTAATGACAGGCAATACCATCAATGGGGAAAAAAACAACATTAATTGAAAGTAATGAAATTATAAACGGGGAAAAAATCGTCAATATTCAATATTAAATCAATTAGATAATAGTATTGATTTAAATGATTGTGGAAATGATAACGAAGATCGTCGTTTAACAATACTTGGTTTATTTGTCTGTGATGATCTTTCATTTGTATATAGTGAACAATTAGCAATTAAATATAATGCATCAATTGATGAAGTTTATCATTCATATCTGGAATATTTATAAAGGAATTCGAACTTATGATTAAATGACATTAGAAAAATTAAACCATTAGTAAACTTAAAACGGAAATTTGACAAATTGAATTAGATTCAGTTAAAAGATTATATACAAATGTTTTTCCATTTATTGATGGAAAAGATTATGAACGTTTAAAACTTCTTATGATATTAAAAATCTTTAGGAGATTTAACACATGCACAAGAACATATTCAAGTTATGCAACAACATTTGATCAAATTAAAGTTTCATCATCATTAATTGGATGTATTCATATTATGTACAATATATCAATGTGTGAGGACACACATCTCATAAGAGGGGAGGATTGTTACAGGCCTCGATCCACCTCCTCTATATCTCTCTCTTTCTCTTTGAAATTGTTATGCTTTTTCTTTTCTTTTTTCCTTCTTCTTTTTTTGCTATTGTTTTCTTGTAATATATATGTACGTGAAGTTAAGGACATTTTTAGAATATATAGACATTTAAAATAAAAGAAACGTAAGCTCGTCGAAACGAGCTAACACACTCTACACTTAAAACAATTGATACGACACAGAATTTGAGTGGTTTAGACGATATACAAACCTTTCTTTAATTTAGTTCTATACCAAACTATTTTCACAGTAAAGTAACATTCAAACAATGCAAATAATAAAATACTAACTAACTAATCATTTATCTTAAGCGTATTTACATGCAAAAGATAACATCTCATCACACGTTAACGATAACAAATATATACGAACACTTCTAGCATATCAAAAATGCAGGATAGAAAATGTGTCTTCAACAAGAATTCAAGCAGGAACAAACTAACCTCGTGAGTTTTTGATTTCATTGATTTCAAGTAATTTCAAGATTTTTAATCGATTATCTACAAGATATAGATTCTTCAAAGCCTGCACTTTTTGCGCAATATCGATGAGACAGCGTCTCAAGTTTGATAAATCTATGTGTTGGAATGACTAGATAAGAAACTTTTGAAATCAATCTTGTGCATAAGATGGTCTAACGGAGACCTTCTCCAAGGCAAAGTGTCCGGTAAGAGTTTAAGAATATGATTTTACTTACATGAACGATGGAGACATAAATTGTCGATTCGTTTATCTATTTTAAATAAAAAAACTGATGTATGATCATAAAAGGGTATCTCCATGAAATCTCAACAACGCGTACAAAAGTTTCCTCCGATTTTGAGAAAGTTTTCAGCGTTTTTAGAGCTCTTAGTTCTAAGTATTTTGATAAAAAAATTGGTTAAAAGATTTTTTTCAAAGAGGTCGCCACAAAATACTTTTCGCAGTAAAGCGTCAAAAACGATCATTTTTACAATTTTGTTCAATGGCTTTTGGTATTTTTTTCATGAAAACAAGATCAAACTGAAATTCAAGGACATAGTCTGATTCCTTTTGAAAAAAATTTGAACCATTTTTAGTCATTGACCACAGGGTGCACTGAATCCATAATTTTTTCAAAAAGCCGAATTACTCGATATAGCGGCGGGTGTGGATGTTTGAGTACGTGAGCGGGTGTGGGTATGATGTTCTATTCACTCATACTCAAACCCACACCCTCTTCATCGAAAAGCATTTCATCGAAAGCTTCTAGAATGCTGTAGACTGTTTGCAAGTCCTTTGATTCTTATATAGGGTTGTTAAGCATGAAGAGCTCTACTCATTTTGTCTTCACCCTCACCTTTGGGGTGCCCTCCATAGCTAAAAAGTGATTTCGATGAAATTTCGATAAAGAGCATACATAACGATATTTTTTATTAAATTATTGTTTGTATAAAATGCTTAAAACCATAGTTTTGCCTATTTTTCATTTTCCTGACAACAGTAGCGCTACTAAGATCTTACTCCTATCGTCTTCAAACTTTTCGACATTTCTGCTTTCGACATTTTTCCTTTCTATATGTCTCCTTTCTACATTTCTCCTTTCTATATTTTTCCTTTCTACATTTTTACTTTCGACATTACTCAGGCATACCGTATTTGATATGCGAAAAAAGCACTTTTACGATCATTTTTTTGCAAAAAATATATAAAATTTTGAAAAAAATTTCTACCGAACCGGCACAGAAAAAGTTGTCTCTACCGGCCAGTTGCCGGTACCGATTACAGCTCTGTCTTAAACAGTTGTAAGTAGAATTTCTAGATAGACTTCAAAGATGGTGGGAAACCGTCTAGGGTACACTATTAAGAATTTTCAATAAGTTCGTACTGCTGATCTTTTGCAGCAGATTTGTTTTCCATTCAAAAGATCTGAACTTGAGATCTGGAACTATTCAGAACCTTCGACTGTGACTATCCTTCATAAAACTTTATAAGGCTTCGTTATTTTCCCAAAAAAACGTTTTTTAGCAAAAAAAAATAAGGGAATAACAATATTAGTAACATCGATACCGATGCGTCGGTATCGTGTGGATATTGTGACATGAGTATTTTTAGGATTTCATGAGATTTTAGGTGTCAAAATCTGCTTTTCTCCCGCGAGTTCAATTATCTTGTTGTCCAAAAAACACTGTTTTTTACTTAATCATATGTATAAATCTATGAGAATTTGTTGAACAGTATAAATTTTTCTGATGTTTTAATAGTTCTGATATATTTACTTATTTTATTTAGTTTTGTGAATATGATATAGTGATTATGTCATATGTCTAAATTGCAATATTAAGTTAGTGAAATAGCTCAGTTGGTGAGGGTTTCACTGTTCACGACTATATTAATAGCTTAATGAAAAAGAAACTTTCGGATTACCTCGGTTTCCTTTTGTTAATCTTCTGCTAAAGCAAGTAATTACGCATAATTCATACAATGCATTTTTAAAAACATGCATACTAGAAGACATTAGTTTTTCGAATCACTTCGTGTTGATCCCGATCTGATTAAGTTTTTAACGGTTCAGCAAGCATAATACATCAAAATAAAACGAAACTTAATGAGTGCAACTGATATCGAAATTCAAGGAAACTACTGTAATTTCGTCAGACAGCCTACCTTATTATACAAGAATTTTTGCTAGAAGAAACTAGATTGTACTAGACCTGGTATATAATTCATGCATATTGATTAAAAATCCTCATACAACTAAAAATACTTTTAAAACTGGCTAATTATATACAAATGAATATAGATGTAATAATGGGTTTTTTCCCACAAGACATTACATACGAATGGGTTTTTTTCTGTTCTGCAAGTTGATTATGCGAGGCATGGTCTTATTGTGTGAGTAAGAAAGAGACATTTGAGTAAACTACAACGGTAGATGTAACTTCATTCTCTTTCTAACATTATGTTTTTCATCAGGAGTGTTTTTAGTAACACGACACTTTTGTAACGAAATTTATTTGAATAAGATGCCTGCTACGACACGTGGTTTCTCATCAAAACAAAGGCAAACAAGGGTGAGGGTGAGTAGAGAAGCACACCGTGATCGCGATTTTGTCCTTGCTTAAGGGACTCACTAGACAGTTTAACTGCAATATATAGAGGGAATCTATTCTAATGATCGTTTTTGGATCACAAATAAGACTTCCATATATATTGAAATGACTTATGTATATCTTCTGAATAAGAAGAAGAGTGGTGAGGGTGAGGATGAGTCAAAGCAAACCGTAACGCGTTTCGACTTTGCTTAAGGATCTGATGTAGTAGATCTAACTTGGTAAATGTCTTAAATGCGTGAAAAATTGGTTATGGATCGGAATAAGAGAGTCAATATTTGAATTCTCTTGTAATATGTGATGAGAGAGAGTCTTATTGGATTTTAGCGGATGATTGTGTGGAAGAAGACATGTTGTAAAGTTGAGGAAGAATAGGTAGTGGATTACGAGATGGAGAGATGAAATCCATTCATTCCTAGGAAATGACTGGAGCACTGTGGCACAAAATAGAGATAAATGGAAAAACATGGGAGAGACCTTCGTCCAACAGTGGACGGCAAATGGTTGCTAAATGATGATGATGAATGATGATGATGAGGTAGTGGATTGGAGTTGTAGTTAGGTATGAATTTTATTTTAATCTGTAGCACTTTGAACAATAACAAGATGATTCACATGAATAAGATCGATTAAATATAAAGTATAGATAGCTTTTGATGACATATGAATAGGGTGTTGGTGTGGGTGAGGCTGGGTCTGGGTGTGGGTGGGGTGGGTTGGAGTGGGTGTAGGTGAGTGTGGGTATGGATGCGGCTTTTTTCAGCCACCTCCACAGCGAAACCCTTACACCAATATTTTACTCTCGCTGTTAACGATTCACTCATTCGTCTTCATGGGCAAACTTTCGAAGCATGAAAGCATCCTCTTTATTCCTTATCTTATGGAATTACCAGTTACATTATTTTAATACTTTTATCTTAATATTGACAATCGCGAAAAGAATATGAATAGAATACGACACGAACGCAGAAAGCTAATCATGTAGGTCGTAGACAAAACTTTGTAAGAAAGAATCATTAAATCAATGAGCCTCTGTACGATACATACAGGTAAATGCATTGGAAAGACTTCTGGCTAAGAAAAAATCATCAGCTGTCCAGATAAGCGAAAGTCTGTAATTAATTGCCATATTATATGTGTCTCGATTCTTTAGAATTAATATTCTAGCCATTCATCTGTTATACTTATGATATTTAAAAAACTCCAAAGTTTGCTTAGGAACCATAGTCGTAAGTTACTTACGAAGACACAATAATCAAAATAAAATTTATTAGAGAATTTCACTAGTAATAGTTTTCAACTTGGTTGAATGTTGTATATGCAAAATGCATCGTTTGTTTGTCGTGGGACTCTTGTGTTACTTGTGCAACATCAAAAGGCTTTACTTATTTTTCTTTTTTCTCTCTTTTTCTTCGTTTTTTAAAAATTTGTCTCAATCAAGTACTTTCTTGAGAAGTACTCTTCATGACAACAGTAAAATACAAAATGTGGAGAGCAGACAAACAATGATAGCAAACAAAGAAAAAAAATTTGGTAAAACGAAATACAGTTGAAATGAACCACACGCATCGATACTCATTTGTGTATGATGTGAAACTGTCGTCATCGTTGAACAACAGATAATGACAGAAAATGATAGACTTCCTTTAGCATCAGGCGAAGAAATGAAACTTACATTGGTATAAAGTTGCAACAAGTTTTCACTAAGATAATATGAACATTAATAATTTTCAAAATAGGATGTAGGTGTGGATGGATGTGGGTATGGGTGGATGTGGGTATGTGTGTGGGTGTGAGTGGATGTGGGTCTGAGTGTGGGTGTGGATGGATGTGGGTATGGGTGTGGGTGTGGGTGTGGGTGTGGGTGTGGGTGTGGGTGTGGATGGATGTGAGTATGGGTGGATGTGAGTATGGGTGTGGGTGTGGATGGATGTGGGTATGGGTGGATGTGGGTATGG